GCTCGGTGATTTGTTTTTGCCCCGGTTGGGGGGGGGGGGGGGGGGGGGTTGGATTACTGCCGACGACATATTAGCGTTTGTAGATAGATTTTTACCCAGAATGCAAATGGAAAAAAACCGTGAGCGAAACGGTGACTGGTACTGACTAGTATATATTCCATTGAGGGAAACTAAGTTTCATATCTGCTCAAGAGCCCCCCTGGTGGTTGAAGAAAAATCCACATATATATGAAAAAAAAACACTGAATGCTCTCTGGTATTGTTCAGGGGGCCGGACCAAATGAGGAGGCGGGCCGGATCCAGCCCGCGGGCCGTAGCTTGGGGACCCCTGGTTTAAAGCGTCACGATATGAGCAGTGAAATTGCTAAAATGTTTGTAAAACACTGCCCTGATGCAGAACTGGCTTCAGGATTTAAGTACAAGCAAATACATGAATGGACCTCAAAAGACACCAGGAGAGGCTAGATGAGCAGCAGAGAGAGAGTCCAGGATCAAAACACCAACCCACAAACCATCTGCAGCCCCACTGTTCTCCTGTGACACACACTGAATCCCTGGTGCTGCACAAACATCAAATAATGTTTTGTGCTCTTACAATGTACAAGCTGCCTCTGAGGCGCCACCAAATTCATGTTCCCCTGTGATGGTACAGAACCAGCAGCTGGCCGCTACATTAGATTCCCCTTCTCCACAGTCTTACCTCCCTGCTCTGCAACCTGCAAAGCAGCACTGCCAGTTCTCACAAGTGCAGTGTCAACCTTTTGCTCCAGTCCCAAAAAGTCAGCAGCTCAGTCTCCCACAAGAAGGAGCCATGCTTGACAGATGATGTCTATGCTCAGGCAGGTCCTTGATAAAGTTCAGGTTGGTGGCCAGGTATCATCTGCTCGTCACAAGCGCACATGGGGTCGAGCCAGACCTGTTATAAATTGTCGCATATGCAATGATGACAAGCACACGACAGAAGCCCACTGCCGTTCAGACCGCCTTTGTTTCACATGTTTCAGTCACAACACGAACCGTGTCTTTTATTTTTCAGCCTGTCGGACCACTTGCCTACAGTCAAAGCCACATTGTGAAGAGTTTTTCATTCTGTATCGTACTAGGTGACTAACAATCAAGTAGGAAGAGTTACACTTACAGATGGATGATGGGAATCGACCCGTCATCCATCCATCCATCTGGTTCTGGTCCGTTTCCAAGGAAACTGGGAGCTAACCAGGTCCATGTTTGTTCCCAGTTTAGGATTCCAGCTGAGCTCCAGGATAATGATATTAAAATAATTTAGCATTTCATTTTTCTCTCCTTTGCTGGCTTTCAGATGACGTAGCACGTCACCCAATGCAGATGGAGGGCAGGAAGTAAATTCAGCCCATTTATTTCTGTTGGTCCAACATCAAAATGTCTAAAGTCTGAGTCCTTTACGGTTGCTCCAACCGTTCCAATAGAGAAAGAAAAACATTATTATCATAAAATTACTATCATAAAATTACTTATACCTCAACTCGCTACTCACCGGCAGAAACGTGACAGCCACCTAAAGCTGCTTTTGAGCCTAAATGATACCCAACCTGGAACGAAATGATTGATTCTCCAGGCTTTTGAAAGCTTTCTAATGGCTCATCGTATAATATGAGGTCTGCAGCTCCAGGTAGTTAGTTACCTGGATCGCCTCGATGCGGGTAAATCCTCAAGATTATAAACCAGTGGTTCTTAACCTTTTTAGGTACCAAACCCACCAGTTTCATATGCGCACTCACTGAACCCTTCTGTAGTGATAAATAAAATATGATTTTTTTCCCCCCCAAATTCAAGACATGGCTAGATCACTAAGTCTTCTTAAAAGGTAGAGTCTCTGAGAACAGTTCTTCAAAATATAGTCAGTGTTTTCAGCAAAGTTGAGCTGACTGTCCAGGAACGAGCCAATCAGAGCTCCTCTGCAGCTCTGATTGGCTCAGCAATGTAACGTGATCCTCTGCAGCGAAGCGGGGCGTCATCACGACTCCGCCGAACCCCTGGGGTTCAGAACCACTGCTATAAGAGAAGTCTTTTTTACCGAGATATTATGGATCATATCCTAAATGTATGCGTATTTGTTCGAGATGTCTCGGCTGTTCCAGCCTATTTAGCGCATTAGCTACTCGCTGTGGTCCATTTTGCTTTGTTTTGAACTGGAGAAATCCACTTCCTGACCTCCATCTGAATTTCGCACGTCATCCGGGTCACATGACTGAAACCCAGCAATAGGAGCTCCACCTGGTCTGCATTCTGATTGGCTGGTTCCTTCCTGGAGGCGGGGCATCAGCTGACATGTTGCTGCCATCACCTGATCTTTCTCCTCTCCTGCTGCCAAAAGTTTTACTCTAACATAGAAAGCTGTCCTGGTTCAGTTCTGTTGTAACCTCCAGACCTGCTGGTAAAGATCTGGATCTGGTTCTTCTTCTGGTTTCTTCCTGTGACGGGGAGTTTTCCTCTCCACTGTCGCCCCCTGCTGGTAAGGAGGAGTGATGCTCTGCTGGGTTTCATTCGATAGAAACTTTTTAAACTAGTATAAAGATGATATTGGATGTGAATCAGCGCTGCAAAAATAAATATGCTGCCTTTGTATTGCTGATATCTAACAATGCATTTTTATTTCAAACGTGGTTTTATAATTACTATTAAGTTTTCTGACCCGGTTCTGGTTCTGCTGGTCCAGAGGAGCGGAGTGGACCAGGAATGATTAACCAGTAGCAGCGATCACTACTGACGTCATGAACAGTAAATGAATGAAACAGAAACTTTAAAAGCAGCAGAATCTGCTGTAAAACCTTTCCAGAATGAAACCACAGTTCGGTCCGGGTCGGTTCGGTCCACTCACCAGGAACCTGGTGGAGCTGGTTCCCTGGTCAATGGCAGCCGCCAGCGGGTCCATGTCTGCAGCTCGCCTCCCGGGACTCGAGCCTCTTTCTGGGCTTCCTCTGCGCCGAGCAGCGCTGTTCGGCGCAGGGGGCGGGGCCGCCGGAACCGGCCGGAGTTTACCGAACCACAACCAATCACAGTGCAGGACGGAAACACGCCCCTTCCCCTGCAGGTGGACCTCCGGTCACCTGATCTGGCTGATTCATTAACATGGAAACGACGAAACAAACATAAAAATGACGTCATAGTCTGTAATTTAGTCTGAATTACTTTATTTCCACATTTATGTTCCTGTAATTTTCAGTCAGAGCAAATAAAACGTTTCAGTAAAAATGAATGTGTGAAGATCTGCAGCAGAACCCAGAAGTATTCACACCCTTAGATAACACGGCTTCAGCTGAAACACGCTGAAAAGTGTGGCTGGCTTTTAGCCTCTCTCTCACTTCAACTCCTTTCCTTTTTTATTTTATTTTGTAAGAAACTGTATTCAGTATTTAGATGCAGAGAGACTAATATTATTGCAACCCAAAAGAGAAATTAGAACAAACTTAGAATCCAGAGCCTCTGTCCACCTCCTCCTCTTACATCGGTGGCCTTTGGGGTCATTAAAGGTCACTGAGTGAGGCGCTGCAAGAGGAACAAACGCAGCTGTTGCAGTCAGTGGCGCCCCCTAGGGGTTAGCAGGGGGCGTGGGCTCCCTATTGGATATTTCCCAGCATGCATCAGGAAAGTTGCAGTCTGGGATTAAACCTCAGCAGAATCAAAACTCCTGATTTCAGTAGAAATTAACTGATTTTATTCTATTTTCTGAGCAGAAATATTGTGAGACAGCAGCAGAAAAGTTACTGCAGGTTCATCACGGCTGAACTACAAACAGACCAACCAGCTGCTGAAGCTGCAACGTCTGACCCACAGCATGATGACTCCACTGCCAGCTTGGCACCGTTTAACTTTAACAAGATGGAAAACTCAAAACTTTACTCCAGTGTTTTTAATAATCATAGCGCCCCCTGCTGTCCAGGAGCCCGACCAGCATCTGAATGTCGGCGGATCTTTTCGCGTTAAAAACAAGGATTTCTGTCAATTATTTTCTGACACCCCCCAAAGCTCTTTTTAATATTTATTGTGGAAAAATTGCAGCAAAATTGCTTTATATTCCAGCTTGTCAGATGAGAAGAGATGAAAAGTGCATAATA